CTTCTGGACAGAGAGCTCTGTTGTTGTTCCTGGGATCTGTTGGAGCCACTCTCCCAGCTTATGAGTCACAGCCCTTAGTGCTCCTATCACCACTGGAACCACTTTGGCCTTTACTTTCCACATCCTCTCTAGTTCTCCCTTCAGCTCCTGGTACTTCTCCAGCTTCTCATAATCCTTCTTCCTGATGTTGCACTGCTTGGTACTGCTACATTTATCACCACCTCTGTCTTCTGGTCCTTGTCTACTACCACAATGTCTGGTTGATTGGCCAATATCTTCTGTTTGTCTGTCTGGATCTGGAAGTCCCACAGAATCTTAGCCCTGTTATTCTCCACGACCTTCTGTGTAATCTCCCATATGGACTTGGGAAGGTCTAGCTCATACACAGTGCAGATGTTCCTGTACACAATGCCAGCTACTTGGTTGTGCTGTTCTGTCTATGCTGTTCCTGCCTGCTTCTTACACCCTGCTACTATATGTTGGACTGTCTCTGAGGCCCCTCTGCGCAGTCCACACCTTGGGTACTATCTAGTGTGATAGATCCCGGCTTCTATGGATCTGGTGCTTAGTGTCTGTACTTGTGCTGCTATGACCTGTCTTTTAGTCCAGTCCTTTCCAGTCACTAGTAGGATATAAGCAGTACACCCAACTATATATAATCCCCATTTTGTGTATCCATTTCACTTTCACAAAATGCTCTATTGCTTCTGTGCACAACATTGCTGTTTCACGGAATTCAAGATGATTGTATATGTTTAGTTTTATTCACACATTCTCAAAAGAGCAGGCAAGTGATGATTTCTACATATTTCAACATAATATTGTGTTGTTATTAGAAGATGTAGCTCCCGATGAATGAAGGGAGTCCTACTTGAAGAAGGGAAAATGCTACAGTGGACATAGTTCTAGTAGAAAATATACTGCAAAACATCCTAGTGAACATTACACGCTCAAAATAAAAAAAATCCTCTGACAAGCTAATTGTCAATAAAATAATTATTTGCCTCTTTTAGTATGTTAGGTATAGTATATTAAATATAACCCTAACTCAACCAATTTGGTTGTTGTTGCTGGGGAAAGGGCAAATAGAGTAAAACTACAGACCTATCTCCAAATATCCTGGATTATTTTGTAGTTTTGAACACTAGCAATTTATAGTTATCCTGCCATTTCTGCCAGCATATCAGGAATGCATGGAGGCTTTATACTGCTAAAGTGATAGCTGTGTAATAGTATAACTCACTGTTGTGGAAGTCACATAATTTAGAGAACTTATAAACACAAGAAATCTAGTGATTAACAAAATAACCCCTGGCTAGATGAGACTGGAACTGTTTCCCAATTTAGTAACTTTCAGCTTTGTGGACTTCCAGAATTCAGCAGTAGCCAATTTTCCTGTCAATATATATTTCTTAAAAAATGGCACTGAGTGAGCAAAAACTAGTAAGTTTGGAATGCTGTTGTAATTTCTAATCGACAGGCTCCTCATGATGGCATATTATTATTATCTATTTAAAAGTAGTGGCCACCCAACTCCAGTTGATGATATGCAGGACAGCCTAAAGCTCATTTTGAAGGGGCCGAATTCTTCATTCAGTTTTTTATCAAATAAGTACTGGAAATAAAAAACAAAGGTATATACAGTACTGTATATTTTATAGACAGCCTGCCAGAAGCTGCTGAACTACAACTCCCAGCAGCCTCAGCCAGCCTGGTGAAGGGTGGTGGATGCTAGGAATAGTTTAGCCATTCCTGAAGGGTCAGAAGCTCCCTAACCGCCTCAGGGGACAAAAACGGCCTCGGGTTCAATGCAGCCGGTGCTAAACCTGAGCTGGCATTTGTATTTCTTGGTGTTTTAAAACAAACAAGGCAGCCACCGGGAACATTTTGGAAATGGATATTAGTATTTCCAATATACCGGCAGGAGTTCTTTCGGACGACCCTCGACTGTTACCCAGCCAGCCTCGCGGCTGAATTTTTGTACCTGGCGCTCCCACGCCTTGCTAAACCGCCAGCACGGCTCCCTCTCCGCGAACTCGCTCTTCCCCGTCCGCCTCCTCAGAGTAAGCCCGCACCTAACCGGGCAAACGAGGCCGCCCCGCGTCGCCCGACTCGAGTCCCCGACCGGCAGCGGCTTCCCGGGCCGGCCTCCCAGGCCGAAGGCGATTCCGCAGCGCCTCCGCCGCTCCTTCAGGGCCGGTCGCCTCTGCGGCGGCGAGAATCCCTCCCGAAAACAGGCCCCGGCGGAGCCAAGCGACGCGGCGAGCCTTCCCGCAGCGCCCGACTCGACACTTCCGGTTCCTGGTCGCAGCTCGTCGCCTCTAGCACGTGATGGCGGGAGGGCGTGGACTCAGCGGAATGCAGAAGTTTCTTCGGGGAAAGGAAAGTAGGTTGTTCCCGGGACTTGGGAAAGACCCACCACGAGCATAGGCGCTTTATGACAGGGAGATTGATTGATTGATTGACTGTAACTGAGTCCACCCACCCTGCTGCTGGTCGTCCTCTTCTCTTCCCTTCCACCTTTCCCAACGTTAGAGCCGTCTCCAGAGACCTAGGTCTTTGCATGACGTGTCCGAGGCAGGATAATTTGAGCCTGGTCGTTTGTGCCTCCAGTGAGAACTCTGAGCTGATTTGTTCGTTGATCCGTGGCAGGGAGAGCCGTCTGCCTTTTGTGTCGTGATAGAACCTTGCCGACCCCTTCGTGGGTCACTGCCGTGTCGTGGCGAAGGGGCTTGTGTCACTCAATGAAGCCATGAGCTATGCCGTGCAGGCCACGCAAGACGGACGGGTCATGGAGGAGAGTTCTGACAAAACGGGGTCCACTGGAGAAGGAAATGGCAACCCACTCCAGGATCCTTGCCAAGAAATCCCCGTGGACAATATCAAAAGGCTAAAACTCTCCCCCCCCCCGCAAAAGGAGGGGTTGACTCCTCGTCCAGATTTTTTTTTTATTTTGCTTTTTACATGCTTGAAAAAGACTCATTATTCAGAGCGGTAACAAAAAGCAGCTTTAAAAAATAGCCACTTCGCTTGTTTTCCCATCCTGGCGGCCGTATGCAGTAATCACGAAGGCTTCCTGGGGCTTCGGCAAGGAACCGATGCTCTATCTCCCACGACTCAAACCCCGCAGCCCCTTTGGGCTCCTGCGCCGCTCTATCCAAGGAGCGAAGCGGCGATGCAGGTGGCGCCTCGCGCGGGCGGCCCGATGCCGACGCCTCCCTGCTGTCCTACCGGGATTCTGCGCTTCGTAAGCAGGAATTGCTGCCGTTAGATGGCAGAAAAACCAAGAGCCTGGTGGCCTTTTAAAGACTTCCTATAAAACCAAACTCCAAGATGGAGGGTATAAAGTGACATTCCTGAACAGATGTTCAGGACGGATGTTCCCCAAACAAGCAGCTGGAGAATGAAGCTGTTTGCAAGCATCAATCGTTGCCCCATTGGCATGGACGCCCCCTCCCCCACAAATGCATGCATCTGTCCCCAAACAGCATGAATTTACATATTCAGTTTGCGTGATTTGTGATGGCGTCATGCCGTGACATCACGGCTTCTGCTAGATGCATACGTGTGTACGATATGACTAATGCAATCTCTGGACTCACACCATGCCAAAGCATATTGAGATTTATTCGGTTTGGGCTGTGCATGAACTCAGTTATTGTGGTTTATTCATTAAAACATGGCTAAAATAAACCAATAGTTTAGCACCAAGGCCTCCAGTGTTTGGGCCAGAAGCCACATTTGGATAAATGGATCCATGGCCAATCACAAAGCACCATAGATCAGAAGACAGATGAAGGCTTGGTTGCAACCGGAGGTTTCTGGTCTACAAGGATTCCAGAGGCATTGCTAGAAAGAGAAGGTGGTAATGAAATATGTCAAGGCTTGAGACTCTGTCTGTCCATCTACAGGAGAATTGTCTGGAAGCAGAATACAATGGGACTAAATTTGGTATGGTGGGAGAAGCCACCAAAAGGAAAATTGAATCTGAAAATGGGCCAGGAAAGAAAATCCCATTAATGCATCTCTATGGGAGTAGGGTTACCAGATGTCCGGCAAAAGGAGGATACATCCTCCTTTTTGTCCTCTGTCCAGCAGTCAGAGACTTAAAATCAAATATTGCCTGGCTTTTTTAGTATCTTTTTTTTGGGGGGGGGGTCCACACTGGAAGACACAACAGTAGTTTTCCTTAACATGCATTGTGATTTCTGGACCATTTTGAAGGCATTCGGCATATTAGAAATGTGTTTCTTTAAAAAAAATGCAACCAGTATTTTACATCTTCAGAATATTTATCACAATATACCTCCCATATTACATTACTATTTAAAAACTCTTATACAAAAAAATGCTAGATTTGACAATATTGTAACGCATTGGAATAATTCCAGTAGTCCCAAGGGCAGTTTATTTCCATTATCAGTGCAAACATAAAAAAGGGGGAGGACTATTCAGACACATACTACACACAGATTTTTCAATGAAGAATTCCTACAGGGAGTTACAGGGCTGAGAAAAAGGTCCTACAAGCACATTTTCAGCCTGTATGAAGTGGATTCCATAGGAGATTTTGAGACATCATACTTTCTACATAGGAAGTTCTTGCTACCATTCAGTGCATTGTCTGACTAAAGCATCTAGGAAAGTTTGTACACTGACAGAACAGTAATGAGGATTTAGATGGCCAAACATTAAGCACATTTTCTCTGACAGTTTCAGGGAACAAAAGGTGCTAATTTTATCTAAGAAGTAATATGTCTATTTCTCATTTTAAGGTCTTTTTTAAAAAATACAAAACCAAATATATGAGTAAAATATTTACAAATCTCCTAGCTGTAGCAAATTGTCTACAGCAGGATCCCCAGCACTCGTGTCCCATTGCATCTTCTAGTATCACTCGACTGTTATTCAAACGATATAAAATCTGTCCTCAGTTGTGATTTTGACATAGTGATGGCTGGGACTGTAGATGATGTAAGTTGCTAGTAAGGATCCTGGCTGAGTGATGTTTTAAAAACAGCAAGAACGAATTATATCAGTGACTTAAAAAACAGAGGCAGCTGTCAGAGGACAAAGTATGGTCACTATTCATATTTCTTATTTTAAAACTCAAGATACCAGCTGAAGTGCCAGTCACAGATCTTCTTCGCTTATCTTTTCAAATACACAGTCATCCTCATTTGATTTACTAGTGTACAGCCATTTTCTTGGCTTAAAACCAGAATGAAAAATCTGTAGAGAACCAAAGATATGATATGTCAACCCAAATAAAAGCATTCAGAGAAAAAAAAAGTGCCACCAAATTTATGATTAAGAGAAATAATTATGTGTTAAGCTTATGTTTAAACTGTAACAAAGGGACAAAGAATTTTCAGGCCTCTAATCCAGCAAATGCTATAGGGATATTAGTGCAGCAGGTGAATTTAAATACAGCAGACAATATCATCTTACACTGCAAAGATAATAATTAACATCCATATAACAATGCAGTGTGTTTGGATTGCTAAAGTAGGTCAGAGTCATCACTGCAAGTGGGGGTTAGTAGTAAGAAGAAAGAATTGCAGATGAGGCACAACTATTTGGGACACTATAGGACATTTGGAGCAGTGGTCTGATTTGAACCAGCAAACGCCCTAGTAAATTCAGCCACTACATTTCATTAGCACTGAAGTCTTACTGGCCATTTGTAATAATCCTGCAAGGCATGTGGGCAAATTTTTTAGGTTTGGGGATTGCACTGATGTCCACAGAACTCTTTGCAGCTGCCCAAGTAGATGATGATCTTCAACAGGCTACAGTCCAATGTTCCCATTCGCTCACAGTCATATACATACTTTACCTAATTTGTTCCCTCTCTGTTGCATTAACCCCAGTGATTCTTGGAAAGACTGCTGTATCACCATTGCTAACAGTCATGGTGAAGAACCCTCTTGCTAGTCTCAACCAACAATCCTTATCAGGACTGAGAAATGCTGATTTGTTCTCCATGTTTTGCTCATGGTTAATAATCTGCCCCAACAGGAATACTGACGTTCCCTGAGGTTTGCCTGGCTAAGCACAACTAAAGCCTGGGATGCCCATATATGCTTTAAATCAGGAAAGACAGGAATACAGTGGCTAGGTTTACACACACTATGGTTTGTGACTTAGCATAATGTATGAACCCAGCAACAGTGGTTTATTAAGCAAGCTATGATCAAAAGAAGCCATGGGTTGATGCAATTTGTGACCCTAGATGATGAGGTTCACTAATAGCTCCAAACTTCCAAGCATAACTGTCATTTCAGTTCCTACCTACTCAACCCAAACTTTTCTCCACCCAGGTTACGTAATTTAATTCACAAACCTGACTTGGACGGATGCTTACTTTCTTAGCTCTGTCTGATTCTGGATGCTCAATCTGCTAAAATAGATGGAGAAAAAATGAGAAAGGAAAAAGCCATTACACAAAAAGAAAACACAGGTAGCCAGCATATAAGTCAAGTTTATTTCCTTGAGATGAGTTCTTGCTTTGGCCAGACCCCACCTTGAGTACTGTGTCCAGTTCTGGGCATCATATTACCATTTTAGAGAAACTAGAACAGGGTCTGAGAAGGGGAATGAGGATGATCAAAGTACTTTGTTTTAGTCTCTGATCAGAAATGAAGGACCTAGGCATGTTTGTTGAGAAGAGAAAATTGAAAGTAGATGTTATAGCAGTCACAAGAATTTGAAAAGATGCTACACAGAAGGTCACAATCTGTTCTACATCCTTCTAGAATAGTGTCTTAACCTCAGGAACTTTAGGATGTGTGGATGCTGGCTTGGAGTTGAAGTCCACACACCTTAAAGTTGCTGAGGTTGAGAAACACTATTCTAGAGCAGCAGTTCTCAACTGGGGACCATATGGCCCCCTGGGGGCTCTAGGATATTTCAAAGGGGCCACAGGTAAAAATCATGTAATGAAGGGCCATGGCCTGTGCCAAGGGGGCCACAGAAAAGCAAAGTGTATTATATTGTGAATACTGTCAGAATGGAATATACATATATCTTATTTCCAAGCCAAGTGTGTAAGTGGCAATCTTTTTCACTGGTAATGGGACCTGGACAAGGGGGCCACAGGAGAAAAACAAGGTTGGAATGGGGCCATGGGTGAAAAAAGATTGAGAAACACCATTGTAGAGGACAGTTGTAATAGAAATAAGTTACAAGAAAACTGATTCCAACTGAATGCTAGGATTTTTCTCCTAACAGTTCAATAGAGCACTCATTATCTGGATGGGTAGAGGGGGAGAAAGCTAAAATTACTTTGAATTAAAAGATTCTTACACAAGAAGGGACAGCATTCTTTAATACTATCAGGTATCTAGATTGGGAGTGCACGATCTTTTTCTAAAGGGGGGGGCTTCACAAGCACATCAGGACCAAATTTTAAAAAGGGTGGAGATAGAACGAAGAAGTGGATGCTACCAGGGCAAATAAATTAATAACATGCAATTAATATGATTTTCCATGTTTTCCCCTTCTAACAAAGCAGCAGTTATTTTCTTCTAGTCAGTCAACACAGGGCTGAGAGAAATGGCACTGCGTCCAGCAAATGAGAGATGGGCAGGGAGGTTTAGATGCCAGCCAGAAAACCAGCCAGGTGCAACACCAGAAGACTCTGGCACTGAGCCTAGAGGCTGAAGAAAGGAGCCTGCAGGCGACTGCACCTGACACTACAGTATGAACCATGGGGCTCGTGAAAGGAAGCTCCTCACGCTCCCACCCTACCTGCTCCTCATCTCCAGGACTTAGTGCTTTGCTGCATTCCTTCCCTCCTACTCCCTTGTTTCACCAAACGAGAGTTGAGCATGCAGGTGGACTCAGGGAAGCAGAGGAGGACAAAGAGGGAACTTGGTGACTTTGCAATCCCCTAATTCTGGTGAGAGAATGAGGGGAAAATAGGTAATGGGATCCTGTTAATGGGAACACCCAACAGAAGCCATAGCATCGCAGAGAAAACACCACCTTTGGTCTGATATCAAATAACCAACACGGAGCCAGAAAAATATAACCTCAGCGCTTGAAGAGATCCAACACTGTATAATCACACAACTCCAGAGCTCATTTGGAACAGGCTCAAAATCCATGTGCAGAGATGCCCCTTGTTATTCAATCTGACCTCTTAGAAACATGGAAGATTGTGGCAATAAAGCCACAGGAAAATGCCAACGTACACACAGTATAGTAGGTCGTCATCACACTACACTACAATGATACTGCTAACAACATCAATGTTCAGTGAAACTAGATTATCAACTTTGCTCACCATCTCTTGATCATCCTTGGTTGCTGTCATCAGCTGTTCTGATATTATCTTTTTTAAGCAACTGCTTAGGAGAAATGCCTACAAAGATGGAAAAGCGCTGAATTTTCATTAAAAGTCTTTTTTACTGAATTGCTTTTTATAATTTATATTAGTCTTGGCCTATGATTCCTACCATATTTACCTGAAGGTGGTAGTGAATTTAAAGCACACCTCCCAAAATGAGGATAAACACTATAAAAAATGTACAACGCCCAGCTTTCCGCCTTGTGAAATTCAAGTTACCAACTCCAGCTAAAACCAATCTTCCCTCCTTCCACCCAGGCAGCAAAAAAAGCCAAAACACAAAAACACAGGACAGAGATCAGGAGAGAAGTGGAAACTAAATATGGAAGGAAGGCGGGGGGGAAGCCCCATTTAGATAATATCATTTAATTCACTGGGCAAGCATCTCTTCCCAAATAAGGGCTACACTACAAAAGTATCCACCCATTTTAGCAGCTGCCTGCAGCTCTGCACATTCACCTGTTTTCCACATAGTCCTCAGTGAATGGATGTCTTACTCCCCCAGTTCATAGGTAACGTGATCATTTCAATTCACAAGTAATTATTTGGAGAAAAAACGGCTTCTTATTAATGAAAAACGTTCTTTGGGAAAAAAAATCCCAGCTGATGTTTACATTTTCTGGGCTGGTTGCTAAATGTGACACCATATATTATTTTTTCCCCAGGTTATTACATTTCCATGTGAAATGAAGCCTACCAAACCCATCCTGATGTGAACAAAAATGGGTAACAATAACATCATCTGGGGTATTATCTCTTGTGACCAGGTAGGAAAAAAGGGGAAGGGATATAACTCAGAGGTAAAACTTGTGTTTGCCTGTAAAATATTTAGTTGATTGGGAAAGAGGATTTGCTGAAACCTTAGGTGAGTCAGCATTAATAGGAGTATGTCCCTGGGATGGAAGAAACTAGTATCCCTGATGTGGAGATATTATGGAACTACCCAAGCATCATCTTTTACATGAACCCAAACAAACCTGCTTTGTATTGAAGACAATCCATCTCCACTTATCGGAATCATTGTATTCAATTCTGAGTTCCAAGAATTGATCAAGTCCGTGACCTAAAACTGATCCCTGAGTAGTCAAAAAGGAAAAGAATAACAACAACAAAAACAACAAAAGCCACATCATAGTAGATCCTAAATCAGTATTTCTCAACCTCAGCAGCTTTAAGATGTGTGAACTTCAACTCCCAGAATTCTAGGAGTTGAAGTCTACACTTCAACTCCTTCAACTTGAACTTCAACTCGAACTTCACTTCAACTTCACTTCACTTCACTTGAACTTCAACTTCACTTGAACTTCACTTGAACTTGAAGTCAAGTTGCCAAGGTTGAGAAACACTGTCCTAAATTGTCCCATCCAGGCTGTGTGCTCCTTTTTAGAAGAAGAAATCACTTCTGCCAAGGCAGGAAAAAAGAGCAATTACATGGCTTGGATGTACTGTGGAGAACAACTGAGGCATGGAAAGTTAAGCTATCAGATAGAAAATGGAAAGCATAATAACAAAAGAAAGCAGCTCTTAAATCCTTTAAAATCAGTATTTGCAGACTATTAGGGCAATGTGATCCTGAAAAATGGCCTTTCCTGAATTTAACAGGGATATTTTGGGAGGAAGGGAATGGAAGGATCACTTTTTCCATTTCACAATGTCCAGATTTACCTTCCACCCCCAGGCAGCCCCAAGTTTGAATAAAATAGTAGAGACAGAAAATGTCTTCCAGGCTCAGGGGCCTGAATGATACTACAAGGTTCTAGGAAGGACTCCATCATGCACACCTTTTGAAGAATGAGAGTAAGCTGCAAAATTCTGAAAATCAAATGTCCTTTTTCAAACCCTTTTATAAACTATATAGACATGCATATATAGCCAACAGTTAAAATCATGGTTAATTGGTAAGAGCGCTGATTTTAAAAAGTAATTTGTTGTCTTCTTCTTGAGCTGTGATTAGATGACCACGTTAACCAGGAGGCCTTTGTAAAGGGGAGGAGAACCTAAGCAAGCTAAGGGCCAGATTCCGCCAGCCTGAGTGAGCTAACAGTAAATAGACTATTAACGCTTTCCTGGCAGTCATTTTCTTTCTGGAATAAAAGACCAATCACTCTAGTTTGTTCTCAGGGAGTTCTTTCTGCAGAGACTTGCAGCGACTGGTTTTCTGCTGCCCAGGGGATGGAATTTTGAGGAAGGCAAGGAGGTTTCCTTCAAGCTTTCATGAGCCAGATGGGGACCTGGTTTGTGGGCTGGAAGTTCCACCACATCTGCTCTAGCATTTTTGGAATACAGCCTAGGGATCCTTCATATCTGCCATTCAGACATCTGATGTGCTTCAAGCAACACCAGCTCTTGTTACTCCATGTGAATAGCAGAAATCACAACAGACTTGTGGGGCCTACTGTTTAAGTTGCTCTACTGACCTGAAAGACTTCTCAGAAGAAAAACAAAACAAAACAAAACACTTGAGAGAAACATCTCAATCTCCCATTTCCATGTTACTTTGCTAATCTAGATGCAGTTTAAGTTGCTCTACTGACCTGAAAGGAATAACTACTAAGTTGCTCATAACTCTTGTTCATTTTCATTCACCTTACAAGCAGCCTATACAACAAGGATCCAAAACATTTTGTTGCTATGTTGGTGTTTTGAGAACATGTTACACATGTCTCCTAAAACAGCTGCCACCTGAAAACAAGATGGTGAAGTGGTTCCTTACCAGATCCTCTAACGTCTCAGGATACTCTCTGCTACTTCAACTTACCTCTGTTTTTTCAGGGCCATTGTCATTTTCCCAAAGCAAGCACTGGGCTGCAGCCCTTCTGAATTTTATTTTCAAGAATGCCTAGGCACTATATGCAGGGCCCACAAGCATTCTTGGAAA